CCCCCCCCTTCACCCCCTTAACTGCAACTACTTGGATCATAACCCTGGAGACATCCGCCTTCCTCCTCCTACAGCTCCGCCTCCAGCGGCTATGGCCGCTTCCTCTTTCTCAACCCTAACTGGAGCGCCGCCCAACAGGTCGCCTGGCGCTCTGCCCAAGTCACGATGTCAAACAAGCAGCAAGCAGCGCTTCGTCATTCTCAACAAATGAACAGTGTTTTGTGAGCAGCTATTAATAGGTCTTGACTTCGCCTTGGTCTGCTGCCAACCGGTACCGGTCGCCCACGGCCTCTCTGCTGCATGAATTTTTGTTGTTCAAAACCTTCCGAACTTTCTTGGGATGCTGCTGCCAAAATTGGACTTTGGGACTGGACTTGTTTTGTTGAGTACCAGTTGGCCTTTTACCGGTCTGTTCGGTACTGGCCCAACATTGCCTACGAGGCATCGACTTCCTACGGACTCTAGGACCCTACAGACCCTACCTGGGACACACCTACCGGGACAATCTGGGACTGGTACAATCTGGGACCATCTGGGACTGGGACAAACTGTGACTGGTACAATCTGGGACCCTGGAACCAGAACTCAGGGTGTCTGCAGCGCGAAATCCTTTCACATTTTTTTATTGTCCACCAATGGCGGCAAGAAGTGCACACAGGCATAGCAAAGAAGACCTCTGAGATGACTCCATCGATTGTAGCTCTGTTTGTCGAAGAGTTCAACTGGGCACCGAGGTGGGCAAGCTCTGGGGATGCTTCCCTCATGTTCTTTGAGCTGAAGAAGCAATTATTGATTTCCAATCAAGCGTGCACGCGTCCCAATCAAGCGTATGAACAAGTTCCACAAGAGCATATGAGCGTGAAATTGATTGAATCCTGTTTGTTGCTTACAAAAGGCTGTGTAATGCTGCAGTCAAGGATGTTACCGATTACAACGTCATCCCCCAATGCCCCATTCCATTGGCTTGAACAGCTTCCTGGAGACAGCCAAGTGTCGATTCATGATTGGGATCTCCAGCCCCATTGGAAACAATAATGCCAGGGATCGTCCATCCGACACCCTTTTTAAAAGAGAAATGACAAACGACAATGGTACTCGTTTACAGTGAAATATCCACGCACATTGCCACAACTATATCTCAATAAGGTTCTTAAATGCAGGAGGCAAACAGGTGATGGCAAACAGCAGCCTTCTTCAATCAAAGAACGTCACATGCAGAAAGATTTGAAGATCACCTGATCCTTGATGTCCATTTTGTCGAACTCGTCAATGCAGCAAATCCCATTGTCTGCAAGCATAAGAGCACCAGCCTGAAAAAACTTGACTCAGTCTAGTAAACTGGTTCTCAATGTGGTATGTGAGAAACCACGGAAACATTTGTTGAGAAACATCACCATGTCATTAATTCATAGCTCAATAAAACACTGGCAAGCACACATGGGACCCTCCCATTCCTCCTAAGTCGGACACTTTTCCTAACTTGAAGAACCTTGCACTTGAGGGGGCTGGAAAAGAGTAGAGAAGCACACAATGCAGAATCGATCGTTTACTGTTCTTGCATTCCCTAGTCCAAGCTCATACCAAGCTCGAACCAAGCTCGTACCATACCCCACAGCACAAAGCATAGGGAGGGAGGCTTTGGCCATCACCCCAACTAAAAACATTGCAAGGGAGACTGCTTGATTCATTTTCCAAAGGGGATTGTACTAGACAACGCTGAAGCAGCTGAACATGTTTCCCAGCAGACTTCTGTGGCGATTTCCTTCTCGGGGAGCTTGGAACCAGTTCCTAGCAGAGCTTTCATGCTATATCATTTATTGATGACCCCACACTGGCCTGGTTCCAGAAGGCAATGGTTCCAACCAATGGGCCGCGCACAGCTTTTTCTTTCAGAAGGAAAAAAAAGGAGCCGGGGTGACTGTATTGGTGAGAGGACTTCGCAGCAAATCATCATCACCAGCACGTCGTACTACTTCATAGTTTGACCAGAATTACCCATGGAAACTGGTCAGTGTTTCGTCAAACTGCACTTTGCATTTATTAAACGTCTTCGCATAGCATTTCAGATACATCATACCAATCTCTGAAATATTGCAATTTGCATACAACATCAATGGTTAACCTTTGAACTATAAAAACAATGTCGCGAGCATTCATTCGACATATCTGAAACTCATATTATCACCGAATTCTACAACTCCATAGATCCAAAACTATCTTGAGTTTTGTCATGGGTGGATACCAAGGAAGACAACCTGATCCCCAGAACTACAAGACTTCATAAGATTGCTGGGGTTGCTTTGAGGGATGCGACATTTTCTGTTTTCTTTCCCTTCTTTTCCTTTTCTTTTCTGAGGGATGCAACATACCACATCTTGGGCAGTACCTGATAGTATGACTAAAGAGTACGATTCCACAACCGCCATTTTCATCAAACACACTGCTTCGCAGGATATATGAACTTATGAAAGCATAGAGCATATGCACTGACTGATTCCTGATTACATCACGAAATGAAGCAGGTTTGTTTCTTGCTACAATTTCCTTTTACTTTGAGATCGATAAGAAGTAGCCAAAATAACCGGCCTCTAACTAAAGAGGAAAATTCCACAACCGCAATTTCACCAAAGAGACTGCTTACCAGGATACATGGGGCCTCGCTCCACTACTCTCCACGTGCACGAAAACCAAAAATATGGTGGTGTATCTTCCCATGTTCTAGGGGAATTCGTTTCCCATTTTGCACATTCGGTGAGTAGCGGAGCGACACCCATGGACTTACAAAAGTATATTTCCCCCATTTAAAGATCGGTCAATGAGCAGTAGCCAAGGTCACTGACCTCTATACAAAATTCTCCTGTCTCTGGTTCCTTCGCCACAGTTGCTGTGAGTCCTGCTGCAGAACTGGACTTCCCGGATGTATAGACAGCACGGGGAAGAAATCCAGCAACGTACCTGGACGGAAATCAAAGAGACATTTCAGGACAGCACAGATGGAACAAAACTCACAAAAGTAATGAACGATCAGTTTCCTACTCTTCCAGCTGAATACCTTAAGATACCATTTAAGAGAGAGCAATTGCAGACACCGTTCACTGTTGCCACATCATCAGCAGGGCTGAACAGTGCCAAGGTGCCCACCTTAAGAGGGCCAAGAAGCATTTGACTGGTAGGTAAGACAGACTGCTCTTGACAGAGCATGCACCTCACCCCTGACATTTTCCCCCCCCCCCCCCCCTCCCCCTGCCTTAACTCAACACACAAACATGGGGAACCTTGCACTCAAACACGAAGCTCAGCATCTAGTTGCAATAAAATTTGGAATGAAATTTTCAGCAAACAAACATATTAGAACAGACTAATAATTCCTTTGAAAGTGGAGGGAAAGCGGGTGGTTGCGGCAACTGTTTTGCAACAAGAACATGCACAGTGGGAAGTTGGGACACCGGCAACCCTTATCCAAGTTGTAAGTGGGTTATTGAATACGTTGTACTTACTTCAGGAACTGACTCTTTGCACAGCTAGGATCGCCAATGATGCAGACATTAATATCCCCCCTCAAGTTGATACCCTCGCCAGTCTTTTTGTGAACCCCTCCAAAAAGCATCAGCAGGATGGCACGCTTTATTTCCATGTGCCCCCAAACGGTGGGAGCAATGCACGCAGCTAGTTTATCATAAAGTTGTGTCTGTGACCTCATGCGAGATATCTCCTCCTTTTCTTGAGCCTGCTCACAAACAGAAGCATAGTCAAATAGAGATTAGTAGATTGCTTAAGGCGGATTATGAAATGGCCGCACAGCTCCATGTTTGTAAGCATAGGTATTTTGGATGATAAGACAGTAACTCCAAAAACAACAAAGAAAGACTGCAGCATCAGTTGACCAGAATGGTCCCCCTTAAGTCTTGCAAACAGATACAGGGAACTTCTCGTTCTTTTTTGTCTTAACGCCAACAGCCTTACAAACAGTCATGCAATACTGAAGAAAAACTGCATGCCGGTAGAAAGTTGCTTACAAACATATGCGGATAGGAAAAACTTCTTGATTCTTGTACGTGTGAATCATAGAGGAACCAGCACTGTTCTGTCAGATTTTCGACAACAGATTTGTATTCCTGTCTCTTGCCGTGGGTAAATGAATACAGAGAACTCACAGTAAACTGATCTTGGACAGAGCCCTCTTCCTCGTCTGCGCGGATGTTGACGATTCCTTTCTTGTTGTCTGAAGGCTGGCGCAGAGTGACATCACAGAAAAGAAAAGACACCAAGGAAAACAGCACAGGAATGCATTGCCCCACAACTTCTCAAACACAGAAAGAGTGAAGGCATACATGATACATATGATAAGTTCAGCAAAAGAAAGAGCGCAGAACTGATGTAAGCCCAGTCAACGAAAGGACAGTGAAACATGATTAACCCAGGCAAAACCAATAAGGTGAGCAATTTCCACACTGGAGTGAATCACTCAGTTCACTCTCAAATTAAAACAAGATATCAAGCGAAGCATAGGAGGCCAAACATCCACTGTACATAAGGACCTGTACCCGTAACTCTCCAAGCTTGTATGCAAAGCCCAGCCTTGTCCAAAAGCTATAGTCACGGTGGTATGGTGGAGAGGCCCATGCTCATCGAAACTGGGCTAGTTTGGGGACTCCCAACCTCACTTGCACATTTCTTGTACTTCCCCCTGAAAAATAAGAGGAGAGTGTTACATTTGCTGACAATAACAGGAGAGTGTGAGATTTTGCTTAAAATGGAACAATAGACAAAAGATCCCCGCCCTATTTTCGACAGTATGTTGATTTGTGTTCTTCATTATAACATGTTCAACACTGTATCCACACGCTCTGTTTTCAAGACACAGTGTTTACCAGTGACTCTCTCTCTCTCTCTCTCTCTCTCTCTCTCTCTCTCTCTCTCTCTCTCTCTCTCTCTCTCTCTC